ACCATGCCCGGGATCTTGCCATAGATAATCTGCTGCTTATCATTGAAGTAGAGCATATTGATGGGGGACATCTTGGTGGGTGTGCAGCACGGCCCGGCCGAGCCGCGTGGGTTTGCTTGCTGCACCAAATGGGTGTGTGGGTATTTCTGCATGAACATATACTCGCACTGCCCCGAGCAGTAGTTGGCTTTGTACCTCTTGGGGGCGATGATCCAGTCCCATCCGAATGCCTCGAAGTCGACGGTCAGCGGGTAGCGGCAGCAGCGAGACTCGGTGGAATGCTCGTCGCAGTCCAAGCCCAGGTTCCTCCGCGAGCGTTTGTTGTTCTCCAGCACCCGCAGCTCCATGAAGGGGTGCTGGAAGGGGGGAGAGCAGCGTCAGCAATGCACCCGTGGACCCACGGCCCCCCATGGCCCCCCATGGCCCCCCATGGCCCCCCATGGCCCCCCATGCCCCCCCATGGCCCTCCATGACCTCCATGGTTCCCCATGGCTTCCAATGGCTTCCAATGGCCCCCCATGGCCCCCCATGGCATCCCACAGCCCCCCATGGACCCCCATGGCTCCCCACAGCCCCCTATGGCTCCCCATGGACCTCCAAGGCTCTCTATGGCTTCCAATGGCCCCCCATGGCCCCCCTTGGCACCCCACAGTCCCCCATGGACCTCCATGGCCCCCCACGGCCCCCTATGGCTCTCCATGCATCTCCATGGCTCTCTATGGCTTCCAATGGCCCCCCATGGCCCCCCATGGCACCCCACAGCCCTCCATGGACCTCCATGGCCCCCTGTGGCTCTCCATGGACCTCCATGGCTCCCTATGGCTTCCAATGGCCCCCCATGGTCCCTCATGGCACCCCACAGTCCCCCATGGACCTCCATGGCTCCCCACAGCCCCCTATGGCTCCCCATGGACCTCCAAGGCTCTCTATGGCTTCCAATGGCCTTCCATGGCCCCCCATGGCTCCTCATGGCCCACCACAGCCCCCCATGGCCCTCAATTGACCCCCACAGCCCCCTATGGCTCTCCATAGACCTCCATGGCTCCCTATGGTTTCCCATTGCCTTGCATGGCCTTGCATGGCCCCTCATGGCCCCTCATGGCCCTCCATAGCCCCCCACAGCCCCCTATGGCCTTCCATGGATCTCCATGGCTCCCCATGATCCTCCATGGCCTTCTATGGCCCCCCACAGCCCTTCATGGCCTCCCATAGCTCTCCATGGCTCTCCATGGCCCCTCAGGGCCCCCCACGGCCCTTTATGGACCTCTATGGCTCTCTATGGCTCCCCATGGCCTTCCATGGCCTCCCATAGCCCCGCATGGCCCCCCATGGATCTCCATGGCCCCCCATGGCTCCCGATGTCTTTCCATGGCCCCTCATGGCACTCCATGCCCCCCCATGGACTCTCATGGCCCTCCATGGCTTTCCAAGGCCCCGCATGGCCCTCTATAAT